GCCACAAATAAGTCTCAACGAAGCACACAAATAAGACTTCAATACGAGCATCGAAGACTCCAAACTGAGGGTGTGCCATCCCCGACGAGGAGGGCTCCAAACTGAGGGTTAAAGACCCCGACGAGGAGCCACAAATAAGTCTCAACGAAGCACACAAATAAGACTTCAATACGAGCATCGAAGACTCAAAAAAAAAAAATCTACATATCAAGGGCGGGGGTTAATTTGCCACGCGGCCAACGAGCCCGCGCGGCCCAACGTCACGCCACCGCCCATTAAGTCGATAAAAATTCCTCAGTGGGAGTTCGAACCTGCGCACTAATTTGGACAGCCTAGCGTGCACACCAGTAAGCCACAACAACAACTTGTCCTACAAGATGCGTCGTGCCTATATTTTACCAACAGACAATCAAGTGGGCCAATAATCACTCGCGACCCGCGTTCAGAGTCCGCTCCAGTCCATTTCGCGTCATCTGATTCCACCCTCAACACGCGGTCCCGACACCAACCCGCGCAGCATCTTCCCTCAGCCCGCGACGCGCGCAAGCCCAACTCGCGTCCGGCCCGCGTCACCAGTCCGCCCCGTCCATCCTTGTTCCAGTCTGAGTCAAAAATATTATTGCCGCCGACAGGAATTGAACTCGCGTCCTTCCTCCGCTAGGCAAGCAACATCACCAACAGGCTACATACGCACTTAGTGATTCAATGGCGCAGCGTCTGATTTTCAACTACTCCTGACGCCACGGTACCAATATAAAGATAAGTACTCTATCATTATTAAATTTGAAATATTTTACTTCCTAAGCGTTAATGGCGCTAATGGGGGGCAAGACGCAAGAAGCTGGCACCGCGTCACTCAAACGCGCCACCAGCTGGGGGGCAACTGGGGTACATAGGCCCCACCCAAAATTACCGACAAAGATTTAAAAAATAAAATATAAGCTAGCGATGAGTTAAAACTCACCACCAGCTTGGGGGGCAATTGTTGGGGGTGTGACTAAGGGACTGAGCGCACAGACTAAGCAGTAGGGCGCATAATCGGCGATGCCCAACGCTCGATACCCGCTACAGGTATATAAGGGCTTGAAGCCCTCCAAAGAAGGGGACTTCTTCTCTCTCCTCACTTTACACTTTCTACTATCTCTCTACACTCCATCTCTCTATCTACTCTCTCAACTCTCTCCACAAACGGACACTAACTTGACCGTCGGAGCTTAATCCGGGGGGCAACCCCGACTCTTCCACAGGTTCTTTCCCTCCCGACGAGATCAGACGAACGGATGACGAGTCGACCCACACCAACAAATATCATTGTTCATACCGGAGTAGCTTGGTACAAACAATTCTCATCCCAATAAAGCATTTCTAGTAAGAGTCTTTGGCAGATATTTGATTGATCTATGCATGAAACACTAGAAGGATTCTAGACAATAATTTGATGACTTTCGCTAGTCATTAAAGGTCAACTAGACAATAATTTGATAGCGATACATTATCATTACCACGGATTTCAGAAGTCAAATATATTGACATCAAGTTCCTGGTGGTTAAAGATAAAGTTCAAAATAGACAAGTTTCTATTGAACATTAAGGACATGACTAATGCTAGCTTATCCATTAGCCAATGGTTTGACACATAAAGTTTTTTCATGAGCATATTGCTCACATGAGTGTTATTCCGGATGGTACCTTGGTTTAGTGGGAGTCATTTAAGTAGTTCAATAGATTATGACTAAATCAATTCTGCAGAATAAAGTGATGGTTTTCTAGAGTCTATTTTGGAATTTAAAGTGCCTTCAGTTATACAGTGGTCACATTGTATGAAGGAATTTCAGTTGATCTCACTAAGGACTAAAGTAGGACAAGTTGAAAATAGGCATGTTCAAGATCACATTGAATGTAATTTTCATGCCACTCATCCATATTTGATATATGTCATTGAGTGTATTGGTGTGGTGATCATGGTGGTTTAATCATTATCATATCGTGATTAAAGCCGCGTTGGTTCCATAGTTGATACATGAGGTGGACCAGATTGTCAAGGAGTAATCATCGTACGAATAGCATACGGTTGTGCGCCTATAGAATTTCGCAATATAAGTGTTCGTGAAATTAGACAACCCAAGTGGGAGATTGTTAGGAATTTAAGTTCTTGACTTAAGTGGGCTTGCAAATTCACAACACATATATTAGCTATTTGGTTTGGATGGGCTAACTATAAGTGATCAATACATGGAGCCCATGATTACTCAAGCCCAATATGGGTCTAATGAGTGGAAACCCAATACTTGTCCACTTGAGTTTTATGGGAGCCCATGTGAAACTAGTATATAAGGAGTTTGAGGTTGTGGTCCCCAATACACAAAGAAAAAACAATCTCATCTTCTCCCCATCAGGAAGATGAGCGCTCTCCCGTAAAGGAACTGAGGCGGCTTGGTTGAGGAAGGTCACAAAACCTCATGGATCGTGCTCTAGGAGTATCGTCCAGTTAAGATCGTCGTTCATATTCCGCATCAAGTCTTTGGCGATCAACCGACATGATTCCAGGTATTTCTACAAACCTTTTGATAATCCGACGAGATGAATTCCGAAGAATTACATATGTTAAAAGTAATTCTAACACAGCAGCCAGAGATTGTAGTTTTCCCTATTCTTGGAGGATAATACACCAACCAACGAATGTAGGAAAACAACAAATTCCAATTGAACAACTCTCAAATAGAATTGCCCTCCAGTACCAGGACATAGTCCTTGTAAGGTTCCTTGAAGGCAAGACAAACATCCCTTAGTTCAAACTTCACCCGAGGACACCAATATCAATGATTGCTCATCAATGCCAAACTTTCAGTTACCACTACCAAATTACAAATGTGCAGAGCTGGACTTGCTACCACAACCACCCCCTAGGATGAAATGATCTCATTCCTGCATTCCCAAAAACCCAACTAGTTATTGGAGATTGTTGTCAAATTTACGGGATGTGTTAAAGTTTACTCTTTTACACCTCACTCTTATGTTTATGCTTTTACCTATCATTTCGCTTTTATACAAAAGTTAAGACTTTGAATTTATTAACCTTGAGTAGAGGTGGCAATTTGAATCCAGGACACCAACCACCAATAAATTAACTAATCGAATCCATTTCATTAAAATCATATTGGATGGTTGGAAAATCATGTTGTCACGGTGACATGCACTTTTCGGTCGACCTCATATAAGATCAGGTCGACCTAATCAGTTGTTTCAGTGTACAAACAGTTTCATGGTGCCTACTTTGGGAATTCATATCTTACAATTGGCTAGATGGAAATTGGAGATTAAAGGCTTGTTTTGAAGCTGAAGTGTCCCTCTACACATTAAAGTACTTGGGAGCTCAATAGAAAGTCCAGAAGACCATTTTTGAACCTGACCAAAAGGCTATGCCAAAACTGGGAAACTGCCTGAAAATGGCTAAGTCTGGCAACGTGTTTGTCAAGCCTACTTTGGAGCTCAATTTCACAAGCATGGATGCGAGTCAAGTCCAGGGGCCTTTACCACGTTAAATTACGTATTTTTTTTATACAAATGCAAGGCATTGAATGAAAGATTGAATATCTTTAAGGCTTCAAACAAAAGGCTCGAAGTTGCTACGAATGCTGTTTTTCTGGCAGCTTGCTTGTGCTCGAAGTCTGCCAGAAAAACAACCTTCGTAGCAACTTCGACCCTTTTGTTTGAAGCCTTAAAGATATCCAATCTTTCATCCAATTCCTTGAATTTGTATAAAAACATACCTAATTTAACGTGGTAGAGGCTCCTGGACTCGACTCGCATTCATGCTTCTCGAATTGAGCTCAAAAATAGGCTTCACAAACACGTTTCCAGACTCAGCCATTTCTAGGCAGTTTCCCAGTTTTGGCATAGCCTTTTGATGAGGTTCAAAAATGGTCTTCTGGACTTCCTATCGAGCTCTCAATCACTTCAATATGTAGAGGGACACTCCAGCTTCAAAACAAGTCATTAGTCTTCAATTTCCATCTAGCCAATTGTATGATATGAATATCCAAAGTAGGCACCATAAACTGTTTGTACACTGAAACAACATATTAGGTCGACCGGATCCTATATGAGGTCGACCGAATCCTAAATGAGGTCGACCGGATCCTATATGAGGTCGACCGAATTCTATATGAGGTCGACCTAATCCTAACCGAGGTCGACCGGAAAGTGCAAGTCACCGTGACATGCATGTCACCGTAGGCACACCCTACTTTTTATACTTTACAATATGGTATCTCAATTACAATTGTAGAACGAGAAGTATCGAAAACTATTATTCAAAAATTACATTTGACACCTAATTTTTTATAGTGACATTTTAAGACCTAAAATTTTTAAAATTTAAATGACATTTGGACCCGCGAATCCATAGATCCAATATATAAATTAAATGAATTTCTTTAATATAATTTATAAATCTATCAATCCACTAATCTAATCTATCACACCAGAAATTAAATCCATTTCTAACCTCTAACAATGAGTAATGTGGAAAAAGATGATCATTAAACGGATCTGTGCTTAAGATGGGGACAATAGTTAGCTACTCAAAGCCAAATAGCCATGAAACAAAATCACATTGCTGCTTAGTTTAGTTTTTTCTACAGGGAATTATCCTTACAAACTACATCGAATTAGAGCCTATTAATTTTTTGTTAAAGAGTACAGAGAATCAAAAGAGAAATCTTTTGAGAACCAATGAGCTGTCCAAGCACTTGCTGACGGACAAGTTGCACTCAATACAAGTAAAAGTGCCAACTTGACTCAATAGTCAATACTAATCCTGACAGAGTACTACAGTACAAAGTTAGGAATCTGGTATTCTTACAGCACCAAGATGCCTTCCTGATTGCGAATTTGTCTAACCAAGTTCAAAAGTCCTTTTCTTTCAGAAAAATTTCCCCCTATATTAAGATTTCCCTCTTGCTCTGTTTCTGCAACGAAAGCTACAGAAAAACAGAGCAATGGTTCACGAAAGAAAACAGGAGGTGTTCTCCAGGGAGATTATCAGACCATCTTCCCCAACTCCAGATCGGAAAAGGATTCACAAGCTTTCCTTTTTCGACCAATTGTCTCCTCCAATCTACCTCCCGCTTCTCTACTTCTACCCAAATCAAGATCCCCTGACGCCATTTGCTTCAAAAACCCAATTGCTCAAAACCTCCCTCTCTTCAGCTCTTTCCAAATACTATCCACTTGCCGGAAGGATCAGAGATTCATTCACGGTCGACTGCAACGACGAAGGAGCCGTATTTCTCGAGGCGCGAATGAATTCCAAGCTCGCTGAGATCCTCGAGGATTCTCCCGTGGATGAAACCCTGAAGCTCTGTTTCCCAGATGGGCTCTGTTACCAAAATTCTAACCTCAGCAGCCCGTTGACCGTTCAGGTAACTGGATTCGACTGCGGAGGAATGGCGCTGGCCGTCTGTTTGTCTCACACGATCATCGACGTCTCGGGTATGTGTTCCTTCATCAACTATTGGGCTGCTCTGGCTTCCAGTTCCGCCTATGGCGTCCCTCCCCTGCTGCTGGAGTTCAATTTGGCAGAGCTGTATCCGCCGGTTGACCTTCCCGTGACGAAAACCTTTGACCCCGTGATCGTCAGGTGTGTGAGTCGAAGGTTTGTCTTCGATGGTTCGAATATCGGGAAGCTAAAAGGTATCGTTGCAGCTGGGAACGTGGAGAATCCCACTAGGATGGAAGTGGTTCTTGCAATTCTTCACTGCTCTGCCATCTCTGCAATTAGGGACGTCGGTTGTGGCAGCCCGATCGCTGAGCGCGAGTGCGTGCTCGAGACCGAACTGCATTCCGCGGTGAATTTGAGGAGCAGGGTGGTGCCGCCGGTACCAGCGAGCTCCGTGGGGAACATGGCGTCGACATTTGCGGTGTTCACCCCAAAGGGTGTTGAAACAGATCTGGTTTCGTTTGCTGGTATGATCAGGGAGGCGAAGGTCGAGAATTTCAGGTCCTGCGCCGCGCGATCGCGAGGAGAAGAGCTGTGCACTTTCGTCGTCGAGACGACGAAAGGGTTCAGAGGAGAACAGGGGAGCGAGGGATCAGGGAGTCGTCGTCATGTGTTTGGTTGCAGCAGCTGGTGCGGGTTTCCATTCTATGAAGCGGATTTTGGGTGGGGGAAACCGGTTTGGGTTACGCATACTTTTGCAGGGGCGAAGGACATCATCACCATGATGGATACTCGAAATGGAGATGGGATCGAAGTAACTGTGTGTTTGGAAGGAGGAGTCATGGCTGCGTTTGAGACTGATGAAAAGCTTCTTTCCTTCTGCACGATCAATCCAGGCGTGATTTGGTAAGAATCATTTGTGGCGTGGGCTGGGGCAATATGTGTTCCCTCCTTCAAATTCAACCATTTGATCGAGTCGCACAAACTTTTAATTTATTTCGCGGTCAATTGATTTCTCCGGTTGTTAAATCCATATATCGTTATCAATACATATATTATTGAATTTGACGTATTTTATAGATTACAATGTTAATTGTGTTTTCAATAGGTAAATAGGAATGTGACATTTTAATGGAAATGTCACTTATATCCCTTCTTCTCAAATGCAAAATGTAATATTTTTTTTTTTTGACAATACAAAATGTAATATTTAAATGTTACGTTTGTAGAAAAAGAAGAAATTAATATCAACTAGACTTGTATGATGTGAGATTGATCGTTTACATAAAAAACAATATATGTATTATATGTGGATAAAAATAAAAAACAATGAATTTAATTACATTGTACTTGTTTTTTTCTCGGCCACACCTCAATTGTAGTTGAAATGATGTTTCATAACTTCTTTTAAAATCCTCGAACAATATATTAGACATTCTGATACCTTTTCCATTTCAAAATCTTTAGTTTTTCTCTCAACTGTAGTTGGAGTGTATACATAATTCTTTTATAATCCTCAAGCCTTTATAGTTTTAACTAGATTATGGCCCGGCCTCTTGGCCGGGAGAGTTTGATTCTCATGTTTTCATGTATAAGTGTAGGTATATATTTTTGTTATGGTTCATGTTGTTAGGGTTTGAAATAACTATTTAGTTTGGTAAGTTCTCCATTAATAATATAGGAAAGTATTTGATGTATTTGACTAACAAATTTTTAAAAATGACGAACAACGTCCAACTACAATAACATAAATACATATTTTCAAACGAAGTTGTATTGATATAAAAACGTCTAAGAAGAACAATGGTAAGAGTTGTTTACGTCATACATGCATAATCAATCTTTAGTATACGATAAAATGTTGCGACTTTTCCATTGACTTTAGTGTATTCAATGATATAATGGAACAAAGTATATGTTTAGAGTGTCCTTAATAAGAAACAAACTAAATTACACACTCATGTTTCGAGTGGCATTTCATATAGAAGTCACTGTGACATTAATGTAGTCGAAGCATGCAGATCTCCAACGAGCAAGTTCAACTAATAGATCAACACATAAAAAGCTAAATCGAACTGAAAAGAATGCGAAAACTAAAAGCAACATACCTAATATTTTGGGAAAAATCGACAACAATAAAAGTCATTTTAGCTCGTACTCAAGTTAGAAAGACTTTTGATTTAACAGTAGGTAAACAATGATATGTAGTGCTTAAGCCTTAAGAGGGAAGATGACACTTTACATTCTTTATCAATATGCATCTTAGTTTCATGTTTCTAAAAAAAATGCATCTTAGTTTCATAAACTTCAGAACAAAAAAGTAGTAATTCAATAATCAATATAAGAATCAATATGGACACAATATCTAATCAAAAGAAGAGGAAGCAAAAAAAAAACACAAATTGTTGTGTATAGATTCTGCTCACGATATTTCATAGTGAAAAATATTATAAAAATTATTAACTGATAAAAGGGAACGATAAAGAGGAAAATGCATCAATTTGAACCTAAAATGAGAGGAACTAATATCCTACACCATCATACAATAATGATATATTATATCCCAAAAAATTATTAAAAAATCTATCTAAACGAAAAAGTATAGTAAATTGAATCCAATGTAAAAGTAACGATGAAGATATATAGTATATCTATCTAAGGAATAATAAAGTAAGCCATGTTTCTTAGAGACCTCTCTCGATAGAACCACTCTATGATAAAAATCATTTCGCCAAACAATTGTATCATATGAGCTTTAACTTAAAAATTTAAGTGCTTATAATTAGCTATTTCAGCTCATAAATGAATTAATTATACCATTTGGTATAAAAAAAATTATAAACTTGAGAGTTATTTTGCTTGTTGTTAAATCATTTGAATTGAAGTATGAAAGTGTTTCAGAACTGTTACTTCATTCATCATTATTAAAAATTACTATTTTTATTACAACGTCTAAGCGTGTCTAGGCGAGCTAGGAGATAGACAAATGCCCAATGACCACCTTACATTTAACGTGTTGTTGAACCTCAATAATTATATCAAACTTTGAGAGCATTCATAAATTTGATCACTTCTATTTGGTGTAATTGATTACATCCTGAAACTGATCAATCAAGGAGTCTTTCGATACGATTTTGATAAGATGTCCCCTACTGCACAATTAGTATGACTAAATTGTAATAAGATAATCATGTATTGAATTTTAATTGATAGCGCAAAAGATCGTACTAACTCAAGTAGAGTTTTAGCTACTCAGTACTTCATATTCACATGTAGATAGCTACTTCAAAGAGTTCGAATATTGATTGAGTTTGTTGAACTTACCTAACAAAACTATGATATCAATCGTAAGATATGATGCTTTTTCGAGAAATTGTGAGAATATGTTGGAGACATCAAACCTAACATGGATACCGTTGAATTTAAGTAATAAGCAACATTCATAGTCAATATATTATACATGGAAAAAATTTTCATCATTCCCATAAGTTGGTAGGAAATAGTGAATAATTAGGAATGAAAAGCTAGAAACATAGTTGATTTAACAAATAACTGCAAAAAAAATATTGAAAAAAGAAGAAAAAATGCTTAGAGTGTAGGCGTGAGAGTGTTATATTAAACCCTCAAACAGAAAGCAAGTAATCATTAATAGTTAGTTGTGGATATTGAAATAGTTTACTAAGCTGAATGTTATATACTGGTGATTAATAATTGGACCTTAGCTTGAACATTGCATCATGTTGATAACAATTGTTTCATTAATTACAATGCTGAAATAAGGGGTTGTATATGGAGGTCTTGATTGTTTTTTTTAGATTGTTAAAATAAATACATTTTTATAATACAATACATATGTTAATATTTTTGTTCATACACAATCGTGAATTATTTGCTTGCTTTGACTAAACTATCACTCAAATTGAATGATTAAACATATTCAAATTTTAGCATAGACTGTCGACATAATTGGTATCAGTGTTTGTCATGTTTATTTTTCTTGAAATGTATGGTACCAATGTTCTTATGTCGTCATTGAACACTTCATTGAACACTTCAATGCGCAATATTCCAACCAATGATATTTGTGTTGAGATTTTAAGATTATCCTTCATTTATAATTTTATTAATTATTAAAATATGAAAATATAATTATTAAACACCACAAAATACTTACAGGAGACTTAGCGGGCTAACTAACCGTGATAGAAAAGTACTATGTTTTTCATAATTTTAACATCCTCTATGTTTTGTATTAATAATGTACAACAAATGTGTCTAGTCTAATTGGTTACAATTCTTGTCTTTGATGGAAGAGACCATGGTTCAAATCGCAGCATTGATATATTTTTATATGAAATACAAAATTGATTGTGTAGACGAAAATACCCTTCCTACTTTCACTCTCGTTGCAGGAAATTTGAAATGGAGCAAATCAAACTCTTTAAAATGTATTATAAGTAGTGTAGATGATGATTGATACTAATATAGTCCCTCTATAATATATGGCAGTTCTTCAATAGATTTTGAGCATTTCAAATTCCTTGCACTCTCCTTAATTGTAGCTAGGGGTAAATTTGTAAGTTCAACTTAGAACTTAAATATCTTCTTTCGAGAAAAAATGTCATTACAAAGACTTGAACTCGACTCCATTACATTGATACTCAATATCCCTAATCAACTAGACTACAACAATGCTTATGTATTTTTTGAATTAAAGAGAGAAAATACTGAAATATCTCAAAATCATAGGACTATCCACCGCAGCAATCAATCATCGAATTAATTAATAACTGTAATTATTTACAAAGTGAATCATCATGATATACCTAGCTTTATGAATCAACTAAGTGAGTTCCTCTAATCACACAATTCTTCACCAAGAATCAAATAGTACATTTTGAGTTTATGTATGTCTTACAACTTTTACATTTATTAGGTTACATGACTTTGTAGTTTGTAGGAATACAAGGATTGTTTACAAAAGTGTTATACAAAACTTTTCAAAGCTATTAATCCCAACAGTAAATACTCAGTTTAATACACGTATATGTACCTGTACGTATTTTTTATGTAACTTTCCCGTACCGTAATTTACGCATAAAATAACAATCTTACAATTACCACCAAATACATTTGTGGTAAAAGTAATAATTAGAAGCAATTAATTTTTCTTTAGAAATAAAATGAATAATTCTGTAAAAGTGAAAATTAGTGAAAATAATTTATTGGAGGCACATAGTTTGCTTCCATAGATTAATTTAAAGGCTAATATAATTGTCTCCAAAATATTTAACATAAGCATAAATATCTGTCACTAAAGGTAACATCAGTGGCAAATATTTGTGCTACTAAAGTGGGAAGAAGACCATAAAATAATAATTCAAAAGTGAAATTGACAACAAACCTATTTGTCGGGAATTGCTCCATTGGAGGCAGATAATATTTGTCGCTAAAATCTGCCGCTAAATAGAAATAGCTGCATCAGTATTGACAACACACAATTATGTGTCGCTATAGAGCTATTGTGGCACTTAAATCACTTATCGTGGCATATACACTTAGCCACTAATTGTGATTTTTATTGTAGTGAAGGAAAGAAGCTTGATTCCATCACTCCACTCTTCTAGTTTGTGTTTTCTTTCTTTTTCTAATGACTTGAATCCCTAATGGTTGTTTAGGGAAGATGAACCATTATTTATAGGTTGTGTATGAATGGGTTTATGAAAGAATGGGTTTATCTAGTTGATTCTATTGCTAATTTAGTTTTGATTGTGTTTGGGTAAGTCGCCCTAATCTTCTCTACTAGCCTACTTTACGCTTCTATGCTGGGTTTGGAGTTTTAGAGTTAGACGGGTATGCGCAATCAAGCAAATCGAGGTTAGTTATATGAATAGGGACCTATGGTGGTCA